ACGAGTGATACTCCTCTTAGGCAAGAATTTGGAAAGAGTGACATATCCACTTCGTTTTTAAGGAGTAGCACTGGTAATGTTAATAATGATGGATCTATACCTTTCTTGTGATAATGAATGTGTCGCGACTTCAGTCATTTCAATAGTAGCATTTTGAAATTGTGGGTTGTGAGTATATATTGTTATTTGATGTGAAGGAACTGTTTGTAAATCAACCATTTTGTTCTGAACCTCATCTAAAGGAGATAAAGGTAATGATGTTTCTATATCTTGCGGTATATATGATTGTGTTATATATTGTTCTGTCATCCCCAGATTTGACAGGTATGTCGGATGCTGGCTAAATGGTGAAAGTCCAAGATCATGTTCTGAAACTTGTGGCGGTGCGTATTCTTCTTGCGCTGCAAGATATTCCAGATAATCTACTGGATTTTGCACAAGTGATGACCTTGTAGGTATTGGTGAATCCCTGTGTGCTATGGATTCTCTTTCATCATTCTCTGACTCTTTTGATTCTCGGTTTTCAGCGTACATTGAAAATAGTTATCAAAGTAGCTGTATATGAGGCAGCTATATATGTAGTCAAACAATATTTTAGCATTAGAGTATTATCGTTGATTTCTTTATTGGTCTACTACCATTTTTATAGTTTAATAGCAGATGTATTAAATCGGATTCTAGTTTATTTTATCATCATCACCTTTTTTTCGGTTACTGAATTTGAAACAATATCTTCTTTTTTCAAAATATCATAAAAAATTTCTATTAATGCGATATTTAAGTTCGTTAAAATGAAAAGAGCAAAAGATAATGACGAAAATCTGACAATACACTAGTATGACAAATGTACCTTGGCCTAAAATAGGAACCTCATTAACTTATGAAGAAATTTATCCGAATGCGATTCTAAGAAATATATCGAAAACTGATTTGATCAGAATCTGTGCTACTATTCATTGCACAGAGTTTTTTTAGTCTTTTTTTTTTTCTTGTAAGCATTAGTTACGGATACTTCCATTTATTTGAAACAGCCTGTACGTACCTGAAATTTCTGATATAAGATTAATTTTATTAATTTGAAAACATTGATGCTATAGTAATAATTTGAAACGCAGCACCAATGTTGACTGCTTTACTAGTACATATTTGGTCACCAGCAATATTTATAATATTTATAACAAAATTCCAAACGGAGCTTCCGATTTTCATTTCATTTACTAAGATACCAAGAACTTTATTTATCTTTAAATGCTTTCGTTAAAGATTTTTTTGTAATTTTTGTTTGGCGTACATTATTGTGATAATAAATACTTAACTTGGTTTCGGAAATCGTTCGTTATAATTTAAGTTCTATTGCAAATGAATAATTACTATAAATGCTTTGCCGTAGTTATTTTTATTTCCGTAAAAGATATCACATCTTAATATAAACTGAGGCGTAATTTCGACACTTTTTTTAAAATGATTATTTGTAATTTATACTTTTCCGAATGGGCCAATCCCATTTCAAAAAAACGTTACACCGCGTCACCTGAAATCATAGGTCACTTTCAACCAGTGGGTTGCGGAGTCTGCGGACCGCAACAAAATTTTAAATTCCCGCAACCAAAATCTGAAGTGCACATGCAGATTCCG